TCGTTTGTACGGTTTTTGATTATTCTTTATCGCATAGAAAGATAATTGAAGTCTCCCCTTCAAATCACGTTAAATCAAAATCATGGAAAAAAAAAAAAAAAAGGTTTGATAGATAGAGAGAGCTATAGAGATAGGATAGAGAGAGACGCAGCAAGAATGCGAGCGATGTGATCATGATTCCTGAGCATACAGCTAGATGTAAATATGTATATAATTAGACCATTAATAAAACAAGTTTATTTATTACTGTATGCTACCTTCATGAGTCAAGGCAGAGGGAAAGAATAAAAAATCATTCTTGAATATCTAAAATTTTAGCGCCGTTTATACGGATTTTGATTATTATTTACCGCATAGAAAGATAATTGAAGTCTCTCCTTCAAATCACGTTAAATCAAAATCACGAAAAAAAGACTGTGTTACAGAAGCTTAAACATCCATACAGTTCAAAGTTAGATATCAAATTGGAAAAAAAAAAAAAAAAAAAAAGGGAGGGAGGAGAAGGATATACAAAAACTTGAAATTTAAAATTGGGCAAAAAAGCAGCTTTAGTTTAACATAAATTTTTGAATAAAACTCTGTCAGTTTCAAAGGCGATCAAAGTCCTCTTTATTAAAAGCGTAGTTAAGACCGTTGAGTAGCACTGTTAGTTTGACCCTGGTTTGAGCTTAAGCGAAGGAGCTGGCTGCATGAATGCCTTCATGGTTTTTCTCTATGTGTAACGAGGAACGCCAATTTTCCTTAGCAAATTCTTCAAGAAAGCATCCTTCTCCTTACGCAGATGGTTTTCGTATGCTTTGTCATTCAAATAACCTAATCTGTTATTACATACTGCTCGCCGAAAGAGCGCGCTTCTGCTATTCATAAAAAGCTAAAAATAATTTATTTCTACTTTTAAATGAATGAAATTTTCTGTGATTTTGTTTCAGAGTTGTGGCAACATGCGATTTGTTTATTATAATTGTGTTCTAAAGATGTAATATTCATGTTGTGTTTGGAGTTTGTATTTTGGAGCAAAAGTAAAATATTTATGATAGTTATTGTGTAGAGTTTGATTTCCAGCCCTTTTCACAAAGAGGTGAACATAATCTAATCTAACTTTTTTCAAGAGCGGAGGAAATTCCTGCCTCTGGCATAAGATGGTTTTGAGTCTGATCGAATGTTTCGGCAACTTCCCACTAAGTAATAGCTTCTTCATCGTTACTTGCCGTTTCATTTGATACCAGCAAGATTTTCTACAATTAACTGATAGTTGACTCCCTTAACCCCTTCCCGTGCTATTTACCTCAACGAAACTTGGACCCAAGTGTCCAAGCCAGACTGATGCTTAAGAACACACAATACGAGTAGAAACGTAAATGCCTGTGTTGTAGTCAGTTCTGCGGATATTGCTGGCGTGGAAATAAACTTAATCCTTCTGCCTTTCGTAGTTTCAGAATACTTCCAAACTATTAGTGTGTTTTTTACTTTTTCCCAAATCCATGACTGACGCGTCGTACCTTCCGACTTCACTACTCTCAACTACAACCAAACGCCTTTGACGCTTTCTGGTTGGTGCAAGCACGTCACGGTGCTACTTTGGTAGACGTTGCACGGATTTTTGGTGATTTACGTTGGCGGAATTGTTGGCGCGATTTTTACAAACGTCAGCCATCTTGAAAAAACGCTGTTTTTACGCATAGTAAAGTATTCGAAACTTAAAAAAATAAATAAATAAATAAATATCATTAAAAGTAATGGATTAATTTTTTGTTGAAAATGTCGTTTTTTTTAAGATGGCAGGCAAATGTAAATAAATACATTTACTATGAGTATAAAATACTAAAGTAAGGTTATTATTACTTTCATATAGCAAAGAAGAGAATAAAAACACCGCTATAAAAACATTGGCCAACGTTTAATTAGATTAAAATATTACTGAAATTGAATATCGAATTAAAAACCATCATACCAACATTTTAAAAGAATTAGAATATTTTTAAATTCAAATACTTTAAAATACGTTATATAGAATATAATTAACATTAAAACATATGGAAAATAATTATCTCAGCAATTTCTGAAAATAGAGTATCAATTTTTTTAACAAAAATTGAAGTATACAATTATAAAATAAAAGAAAAATATGTACTTACATTTTTTTGAGTATTTAACCTGTTGTTTATTGGTAAGTACCACAAAAAAAATCAGAATCATAATTTAGATAATTTAGAATTCGAAGATATGAATTAAATTTTAAAACGGCGCGGAAATGCACAAATTGTCAGTAACCAATCAGGGAGCTGATTACAGCTCGTTAATGCACAAATATTCTATAACCAATCAGAGAGCTTATTACATCACGGCTCGAAATAAAATTATTTAAAAATTCATACATAATAAAATCATTTTTTAAAAAAATGCAAAATTAAATTGTATTTTAATATTTAACAGCCATAAATAATGTTTAAAACAATTAGATTAAATTTATACATATTAAAAACGAATTACTTTTAAAGTAAGGTGACGTCATTGATTACATCATCCACAACATAAAATTTCATAAAATATGATAAACAATAAAATTTTTATTTCAAATAAAAATGCAAAATTAAATTGATTTTTAATATTTAAAAGCCATAAATAATATTTTAAACACGGAACTTATGCACAATAAAACAAACGTATTATTTTTAAAATAAAATGACAACAAAGTATCGGTTACCATAAATAACTTATCCAGCAATGGGTTTACCATAAGTTGTATTACTCGCCAAAGGAAAATCGCCAAAATCCGTGCAACCGTCTACCAAAGTAGCACCCAATTCACTATCACTGCTTTCACTTAAATCATTTGCATTTTGCATTTTGTAGGGTTTTGTTAAATTTTACTTACTAAACTGCTTTGTAACAGCAATTATGAGAATCGCGACTAACTCTTGTGGTGTACTGATAGGAACTAACGTTCGCTTACGATCGTGAAATTACGATGTTGATGTCCACAAGCCTGACTCGTGATGTTCATGTTTGGCTCAGCTTTCTTTTCACGAGCCTGGCTCGTGATGTTTATGTTTGGGATAAAATCTTCATCACAGAATCGTTAAAGCACGAAGAAGGGGTTAAACATCTTCCCCTGCTTTAACGAGTCCGGTCATCTTCAGAAAATGTGATTAGAAAATTCTTAGAAGGAACATACTTTGGACCGAGTCTAGCAGCTCCAAGTGGTTAATCATTGGCCTACCAATGTTTTTCCTTTCTTCAACAGAAATTTGCTACATAACATTCAACCATAAGATACTGACTCGAAGAAATTACTAAACGCTTTCGATTCTTTCTGAATGGTAAGCTTGTGGTCTCCTCAGATAACACTCATTATAGATACACGTGTGCCGGATGATCGGATGAGACGAACAATTAGTTGCCAGATAACAGGGCTTTTATTGAATTTACCCATGTGTTGCCACATGTCCTGCAATATTTAGAACAAGTTAAAAAAAGGCATAACATTATTGCAAAATATTTAACAGCAAGACCAATTGCAGTCCATGTTTTCAATACAATTGCATCAATTCTTAGTTACAATGTATCTATACATATATTGATGTGCTCTAAACAGTGTATTCAGATCTATTTAGATCTAAAGTCCAAAAACATTGATGAAAAGTAATTAGTTAAACTGAAAGAAGGGGGGAGGAGATAAAAAATATTATTTTTCACCAAAACATGAGCAATTAATGTCCTTAGTAATAACCACCTTAAAGTAATAATCATCTTAATCGCTTAGTAAAGAATCAAGCCCAAAGGATCCTCCAAGACCCACAACAGCTGTTGCTTTTTCCTTTCTGTTTGGTAGTTAAAAATATTAGCAACAGTAAACACAACCAATGAGGTCATTAATATACTTTTTTGCCTAGAAATAACACTTAAAAATGCCGAACAGCTGAGTGGTATGTATCAAAAAAGGAAGTTCAGATCTGTACCATTTGCAAAAAGAATCTTAATACAGTAAGACCCCGCTTAACGCTGTTTCGTTTAGCGCTGTTTCGGTTTAGCGCTCTTTTATTTCAACCCGGGGATTCTCCGAAATTGTGCGCAGCGCTAGGTTTCCAAATAACATATCCGAAACAGTGTAGTGTTGTTTCTTGCTTTTTTTTATCATTTGAAACAACATTTGTTGACATTATTGGAAGTATAAATTTGATATATAATACTACAACGATTAATAATACAGTGACAAATATTATGATCTTTAGTTTTTATCATGGGTGATAATACGAGTAAAACACAGAAAAGAAAGCAACCGAAAAAAAGCATTTCACTGGAAACTCAAAATGCGAGTGATTAGAAGATTAGATTCTGGTGAACGTTAGTCTCGAAATTAGTGGCTGCATTGATTTTGGCAACTTCAAGAATAAGGACAATTCTTAAGAATAAAGAAAAAAATACTGTCAATCGGCAACTGCAACTACGTCAAGCTCTGCAACTAGAATTACCCGTCTAGAAATAACATTATAGAGGAAATGGAAAAAAAACGACTGTCTATATGGATGACGACGACGAAATTGAACGCAATATGCCATTAAGCCAATCTATCATAATGCCTTCTTGACAAAAAGGCACAAAATTGGAAAACACAGAATAGACTGAATGATCTGACTGAGAATTTTATGTTTTTATAAGTATATTCGTTTATATTGTTTTATTTTTGTAAGAAATAAATGTTTGGTTTTATTTTTATTAAAAAATATTAAATTTAATACCTAACCGATTTCCTATCCATCTTCCCCTAACCCCATTATTTACATGTTAAGATAGCCTCGTTTAGCGCTGTTTCGCATTACGCTCTACTTTGATGGAACGTATCCCCCGCGTTAAGCGGGGTCTTACTGTATTTCAAAACAAATCCACATGAGGTTCAAATTTTTAAGTCTTGTTTCCATGCTAGCTCTGAGACGCTAAATAAGATAACATTGATACTAGTGGATCTATTTTGGAGGAAAAAAAGCAAAATATATACTTACTCTATCTTGTATATTGTCAGCAGAGCCCCAACTTTTCATCCGTGTAATAGCTCTACCTCCAGAATAAAGGACAGATGTTTTCTTGGTTTTGCTGTTCAGAGAACCCATGCGTACCAGTCCGGGATCTTTATCTTTCCGACCGGCTGGGAATACAGAAAACAAGCAATTATGACTTACAAGTCAATTTGCAACATAATATATTAAATATCACAAGAGTTCTATTTCTTTCCAAATTGTTTCAAGTATTCTTATAAAACAGCAGACATAATGTTAAATTAAAAGCTTTAAAATTTTAAAGTTTTAAATGATGCATGTTTTAAATTAATTATTAAATATTTTTCCTGCTTTAGAAATAGGAAAGACGTACTTGGTGATAAAGTTAAAAGATAATAACTAGTTATGATAATTTCTTCCTATCAAAAACATGTAAGCAGTTATTTCAATAACAAAATCAATATACAAACTGATATACATAAAATAATTATAAAAATATGCCGTCTGAAAATTTCACATTACAATCTCGACGCTAGATTTTTAAAAAACTGAAAAAAAAGTTTAAAAATATCATAAATTTAAATACATTATATTAATTTTCAAATATGTAAATTTTTAGATCAAAGGGCGATTAATTTCGTTTCGGCATTTTGCGTCAAAAACTTTAAATATGGTTCACTTCTCAAATTGTTGCCACCAAATGTTACCGCCCTGTGTTATTTTAAAGAAATTAAATAACGAAGAATCTGCATAAATGTATGTATGTTTCTTCATTGTGATAAAACAACAGTATCTAGAGCCATCAAATTTTGAATAATGTAATCTTCCACCGAATATGGGTATCTGGAAAGTAACATACAAAAGGTTGAAAAAACGGTCCCTTTGCACACAATGTAAAATCTGAAAGCTTTCAGATTTTTTTTTTATTAATGTATATAAAATTATATAAATCAGTCAAATCTTCGAATGTTGATTCCAGTTTAATGGCAGAAGCAGTTTTAGAATTGAAATAAACTACAGTAAGACCCCGCTTAACGCTGTTTCGTTTAGCGCTGTTTCGGTTTAGCGCTATTTATTTCAACCCAGGGATTCCCCGAAATTGTTCGCAGCGCGAGATTTTCAAATAACATGTCCGAAACAGTGTAGTTGTGTTTCTTGTTTGGTGCGGTGCTGTACGGACGCATTTTTATCATTTGAAACATTTGTTGACATTATTGTAAGTATAAATTTATATAATACTATAACGATTAATAGAGTGACAAATATTATGATCTTTAGTTTTTATTATGGGTGATAATAAAAAACAAGAAAAGAAAGCAACCAGAAAAAGCATTTCACTGGAAATTAAAATGCAAGTGATTAGAAGATTAGATTCCGGTGAACGTCAATCTCAAATTAGTGCTGCATTGAATTTGGCAACTTCAACAATAAGAACAATTCTTAAGAATAAAGAAAAAATACTGTCTGTCATCAGCAACTGCGTCAAGCTCTGCAACTAGAATTACCCGTTCTAGAAATAACATTATAGAGGAAATGGTAAAACAACTGTCTATATGGATTGACGACGAAATTGAACGCAATATGCCATTCAGCTAATCTATCATAATGCCTTCTTGACAAAAAGGCAGAAAATTGGAAACACAGAATAGACTGAATGATCTGACTGAGAATTTTATGTTTTTATAAGTATATTCGTTTATATTGTTTTTATTTTTGTAAGAAATAAATGTTTGGTTTTATTTTTATTAAAAAATATTAAATTTAATACCTAACCGATTTCCTATCCATCTTCCCCTAACCCCATTATTTACATGTTAAGATAGCCTCGTTTAGCGCTGTTTCGCATTACGCTCTACTTTGATGGAACGTATCCCCCGCGTTAAGCGGGGTCTTACTGTATTGTAAATCACTGATCATAGGTTTATAATAGTCGCCAATAAAAAGTGAAAATTATCCAAATTTTTGTTATGGATTAGTTACTAATTTAAGATTTAGAGTATCTGCCACTTATTGAAACCTTTTCCGTTTTTTGAATTGAGTTTATTAAGCGCCTGGATTTAACAGACAGTGGTTTGTTAATGCAAATAGTAATATCAACTTTACACTGCATCTAGTGAGATAATAACTGACAATTAATTTAATAATTAATACCCAGAATAATAATTAAAATTTAAAGCTAAAATTAAACTATTAGCGCAATACTGAAATTAGAAAAAAAATTATACAAATATATTTTTTTTATATAATTACGTACCAGATGAAATTTTTAACTTTGACAAAAATTAACCTATCTGTTGTTGCTTCGTATTTTTTATCAACAGTTTTTAACTATATGCTCTAGTTCGTAAAAGTGCTGGTAGCTTTTCTGATCACCATCTTTTAGACAGTTCTATACTATTAAAATCTGTGCGCGTCTGTTTGTTTGTTTGTAACCTCATCTTCTCCGGAACGGCTGGGTGTAGAGCTTAGCGGAGCATACCGTTGGATTCAGGACGTCCGTGGCTCGTTTTTATTAAAATTTGAAGCGACTTTCAGATTTGATTGAGGTTGGTGTGTTGTTAATTTTACAGCCAAATTGTTTCTGCAGCTCGTTTAGAATTATCTCTAATGTCGTAACTAACACTTTCATATGTTGTCATTTAATTTCTCAAGCACATTAAATCGCCTCAGGTATTTTAAATAAGTACTTTTCCAGTAAAATAAATCCACTTATTGAAAAGAATAAACATCTGGAATGAGGTTTCCTTCGACATATTTAAAAAACATTGAAATTTCACAATTTAACTAAATTATTCATTACTACACATTAAACATTGAATAATATGAATTAATTACTCAAATATTTTGAGTTCTCTTGAATGGAATTACAGAGGAAACCAATAAAATTAGAATTCATTAGAATATAATGTTAATGTGTACCGGCAGTTTTATCTTTAAACTTTTGTGCTACTCTTAACGCTTTTTTACTTCCTTGTACAAAGTAGAGGAAGTATTGTAATCGTGAAAACTTTCGGGTATCATATGACAATGAAAATATGCATTTTGACCGCTCTCGAATCCATTTGAGCGATGTTTCTGCATGACATCTGTACGTACGAATATAATAAAGGACTTTTTTATCCAAAACGGATTGTAAAATGGATTCAGAAGAGTTTTTTTTCGTGACATCTGCATGTACATATGTATATATCTCACACAACTCAAAAAGGAATAGCTTCAGAACGTTAAAATTATGTACATGGGATTGCTATAACATGCAGTTGTGCATCCCCCTTTTTGGTTGCAATCGGCCGCACCAAAGGTATATATATATATATATAATAATAATTTGTTTCCTAAACAATATTGATTAATTGATTATATTATCTCCTAAGTTTAATTAAAGTATGAATCCATATTGCTTAGTTATAATTTGACGTATTTACGTATTTTTATTAATTATTGTTCATTGAACGGGAGTTGGTTTGTTCCCCTTGAAAAGTCAACTAATTTCCGATCAATGACAATGATTACATGTTTTGGATTTAATTTTCCTTTTACAATTGAAATTTTGTTCTTCATGATGATTTAATTCCAGTCCCCGTTAAAACATTATTAACATTTTACTTTCAAGTTACTTCAAAACATCTTTCAAATTATAACTAAGCAATATGGATTCACTCTTTAAAATAATTCTACTTTAATTAAACTTAGGAGATAATATAATCAATTCATCAATACTGTTTAGGAAATAAATTATTATTAACTAACTTTGCAGCAATTGCGCAAGTAATAATAACTTGTATTCGCACTAAATGAATTTAAGATCATACACATTTATATAATATATATTATTGCACAAGAAAAGCCGGCCTGTGTGCTTAGATCCATATTGAAGAAGATTTGATTGCAGTATTTAAAGAACTTGGCAGTCGAGGCAGTTTTAATTCCATTTTATTTCCAATTGATATTTGTGGCCACAATCACTTGGCACTCTAGTCGTGCCTTTCCACAGAAGATTTGCATTTTTGATGTGGTTGGGATAGAAAGCAAGCCAGCGAAAATTACATCTTAGTACTGTAGAGAGCAAGAGGTGAAGTGCGTCGTTATGAAAGATGGAAGCACGCGAAGAGAAAAGTTTTTGGTTTACAATTCGGTGATTGGTTGTCAAGAGGCATCTGGTATTAACAGTTACGTAAGATCGCATAATTAATTTGAATGACGCAATGCAGACAAGTTATTACGATTTTAGAAAATAGAGAGGAAGAATTAATATTTATAATTATATTATAATTCTGATTCATACATTTTTATCTTACATATATATACTCCTTCTGCTACACAGCTCAGGGAGTTCAGTTTTTTTTTATTCTTATATATTAGTAAATTATGCATTTTTTGCTTTAAAAGTGGTTGAATTATGTTGTTCTTATATTCCGGTTAAGGTTTTTATGCCTTTAATTAACCTCAATGCAATAGTTGTAGAATTATCAAGAATTTGAAAGTTGTTTAAGTGCGACTAAGCCTAACGAAACCGGCATTTGTTTATATTTGAAACTAGGTAGTTATTTAGTAGAATAGTGAATTAAGTCAGTTTCTGAACCAACTTCAGTATCTTTTTGGCGAGTGGGACCAAAAGTAAACTTTCAGTTTTGTGCACCGAAAAATCTGTCTTCGTGCCCGCTGACTGAATTGCTTGCTTTTTGTGCACGAATAATTTTAAATTGTAAGTTTTTTTTAAAACTGTTTTTAACAGTATTTGGTGTTTTGTGTTTTTCTGTATTTTGCAATTTTTAATGAAGATGTTTAGAGATTTTACGTATTTTTGCCTTGCCACGAAGTCATTTAATTGAATGAGAAATATATTACTAATGAAATTCCAGCAAATAAGTTTAAATAAAATGCGGCAAAACGTGTGTATTTTTTAATAAGCCACACGAGGAAATCATGTTGTGTCCACATCAGATTTTTTTTTAAATTTACACTTGGACAGCAAAAATAAAGCGAATAATAAGCAAAGCAATTTTTGTTACAGAACATAAAGCACTATTCTGACTGGTTGTTTTAGGCACTTATCCATCCAGAAGATTACAGAAGGATTGATTTTATCAGCTGTGCAACTGACATACAGGAAACATTATTCATAAAAATGCAGTTTTTTTTACGTACACTAAAAATAAAAAAAAAAATAAAATAAAAAAAAAAAAAAAAAAAAAAACTACGCAAATAGCCTTTACTTACTTACTGCTTTACCACATAAAACGACTGGATATGTCAGCGAAGGAAACAAAGTTAGGAAACCTATTGAAAAGAAATGTATTTGAAATTTCAATTAAGGGCACCAGCTAATTCATTTTAGTTCAGAAGGCAGTAGATTAAGTTCAGAAGGCAGTAGATTAAGTTCAGAAGGCAGTAGATTAAGTTCAGAAGGCAGTAGATTTAGTTCAGAAGGCAGTAGATTAGAGGAAAACACATAAATATAAATAATAATTTCACAAATTACAAGATTATCTGAATAAAATTCTATTTCATACCATTTGATAATTTTTCTTATTACCTGTCGGACTACCAGTAATCAGCTGTTTTATGTACTCAATCACTTGTACATTTTTGAAAATTAACTGTCCAAAAAAAGATAACTTTAAACCATATTAAACAACACGCAAAGATGAAAATATTGTTTCATTAGACAATCTTTTTTAGAGTGATAGCAAACATCTTTTTAAAACTGTGTTATGTTAATAAGAGTATACGGTTCCGTAAAAATGTAATTTGAAAAAATAAATATAACAGCGGTTATGAAACTATGAAGTTTATTGCTTGAAATTAAGATGATAATATTTCATTGTAGCTTCGTCTACACAATGGATTTATACCTTTTTCTCAGATGTCATCGTGCATTCTAGCGCCTGTAATATTGCTAATTTTCAAAAATGTACAAGTGGTTGAGTACATAAAACAGCTGATTACTGGTCCGACACGGGTTCGAATCCCGTCGAACTGGCTAACTTTATAGGTATTTTAGTGATTATTTTCAATATGTTACGTAAGCATGGGTAAATTTCTCTTAAAACATGCTTCACGAAGGCATTCCTTCTCTTAACCCTTTCCGGCACGCTACCAAAGACGGAGTTTTGATTAAAAAAAAAAAAAAAAATTTAATGTAGGCAGTCTAATTAGGCCTAGAGGAGTACACAAGTAAAATTTTGTGAAGACAGCACTTATCGTTTTAATTCTGTGGGTGTGCTCAAAGTGGCCCACTGATTGAACAGAGCTTCGAGCTTCGAGTGCTCAATGACTGACCGATGAGATGCGGAGAAACAAAGAATACAGACTCTCAGTTGTCCTAAATTATCGGTATTCGCCGTTTGATTTTAGGCAAGATTTCAAGGTAAAAATTTAAAACTAGTATAGAATAAGGATATTAGCATACAGCCCGAAAAATAACATATAAATTTCTTTTAAAACAACTCCTTTTATACCCTGGGCCACCAGCGGACCAGCGGTAACGTCGCTGAACACTGGTAGTTCGTTCCGAGATTCGAATCCCGCGAACGGGCTGGCTGCATGAGTGTTTTCGTGCTTTTCCCCGTGTGTAACGTGTATACAAGCCAGTTTCCCTTAGAAAGTCCTCCACGAAGGCATCCCTCCCTTTAGGCAGACAGCACTCGAGTGCTTTGCCGTAATCTAATAAAACCAAACCAAACCTTTTATACCCTAAAAAAATCTGGAAGATTTCTTTGAAAAATGAGGGTCTTAGAACATGGCTAAAATATATGGACTGGTTTGTGCTGAGCTGCCATCTACTATAAATAAAGAAGGTTCAGAATAACCTATAGTAACTTATAAATCCTTTTTCATTCAATTTTTCTGTGCGTACGGAAGGAAATTTTTAGGTGTGTCTAGACCGGACACATTGTGCCGGAAAGTGTGTTTTGCTGTAACCAATCCTAATAAATTCATCCCAAACTTCATTCTTGACAACGAATTCCAGTCATAATCCCAAGTAAGATACGCTTCGGAATTTTAATTTATTACTTAACTATCTGTCATTAATACCTTGTTTAGCTCTTCAAATTTTACTTCATCTCGATTATTAATCATTTACTATTTTACTTATTTTTGTTTACCTTTCTTGACAGCCTTCCATAGGGTCCCGACACTTCTAATTTTTTTTTTTTTTTTTTTTTAAATAAAGCCTTACTTTTCTTATGTTTGCAAAGCAACTACAGTCATGTATTTCTCAGAAAGTCTTCCATGATTAAATACTGGTTGAATTGGATGATCCATCTTATGATGCATATATACAGGGTACTTCACACTGAACGGTACAAAAATAAAGCATACTTGTAACTACTTTATTTTGGTAAATCAAATTTACAGTGAAATACTTATTAAAGTTTCTATAGATGTTCTATGATGTGCCCATCCAGTGACACGGCAAATATCTATGCGGTATTCCAATTCCTGCCACACTCAAGATAAAATATCCTTTGTCAATATTTAAAGCATTTCAGTTATCCGCTGCTTCAGTTGTTGCAAGTTCTAGGAAATGGAGGCCCGAACACTTTGTCTTTAACAAACCCTCATTGAAAAAAATCACAAGAAGTTAGATTTGAGGATCTCGGAGGACAACAAAGCAATTGTAGTTTTTGCAAGTTAAATTGCGAATTAGTGCATATTCCTTGACCCAGTAAGACCAATGTAGCGATGGTATAGACTATCGTTCAGGGAATGGTGTACTTTTTATGTCAATATGGTCTTGCTGAAGAATGAAGGCGAGAACATTCACTCTGACAGCATGTCTTGGTAAATGCAACCATTAATCGAGTTTTTCACAAAGAAGAAAGGACCAAAAACACAAGTGTTGGAAATGGCGCAGAAAACTTTCACCTTTGGAGAATTACGCTGATGTTCCATTACACCATGCGGATTTTTCATGCCCCCAAATCTTAAATTATATCGATTAACTTTGCCAGAAACGTGGAAAGTGGCTTCATTCGCTAAACCCAAGTTTCTTCGCGAAGCCATCTACCTCCGGCTTATCAGTAAATTCTTACAGAAGGCTTTATGCAACGGGATTATTGAAAGGGTTTAACGCCTGCATCGTTTAAAAAGTATATAGCCGGAATTGTAGACGTTTCCGCAACTCATGCCACATCGTTACATGAGGGACAGCGAGTTCAAAACTCGCACCACGCGTTTTGTGGGACTTCGTAAAAAGGTTTCACGATTTTTTTCAACCACTTTGGCTTAGGCTGCTGTTTGTCCTGGGCTGGTTTTCTTACACAAGTAGCCCGTGTCCTGAAATTGCTTCATCCACGGTTCGATGTTTTGACGATACGGTGGTTCTTTACAGAATTTCGTGCGAAAATGTCTTTGAACGATGATAAACGATGATGTTTTTGCGTATTCCAATGGAATTCATCTGCATGGATGGCGCCATTTTGAGTAACAGTGCCTCTATTTTCTTTACCAGAAGATTTTTCGCTGTTGCCACATAAAACGTGTATAATTGTAGTTTCAGAAATAATTAGTTTCGACTTAATATATCAATTACAGAATTCGTACCATGTTTTTCTTTTTGTCCCATTCAGTATGAAACACACTGCATATTCCTTATACCAATGGTTTTCAAGCACTTTCAGTTCACGAGACTTTTACCAAAATTTTTTCACAGTGCCCAAAAAGGCTCCGTGGAACAGGCGTATCAAACAGTTTGCGATTCATTTTGGTTAAATTAAAAAAATAATAATAACGCATTGTTGCAACCTTAAAATATGCAAAAAGCGAAAGATTTTTGAGCAAAACACATGGAGTTTCAAGGAATTTTTCGCACTGCGAAGCGGCATAATTTTAAAATTGATTTAAATTCGCTTTATAAAGCATGACTCAAGATATTCAACTATTTATAATATGATTCTGACTTGTGAATTTTAGATCATGCAACATTAAAGTTTAATTACGTATTCTAAATTTTATATTCTTTCGTTAATCTTATTTTGAAATCTTCTTACAGAATTCGTACAGAGAAAATCCCGAGTAGGGAAGGAAAGCTGTAATTCATCAAACTACACTACTTTTAAACACGATGGAAATAAAACTAATAATTAAATAATTAGTCTACGGATAAAAACTGTTGTGTAAACAAATTTATTAGTGTACCATACATTGACATAAAACAAAATTAAAAACAAATATTCACAGATTAAATATTGGTTGAATTGGACGGATGGGGAAAATGGAATTTTCACAATTTAAGTTTCATTAATTCAACAAAATTTATTTGCTATTAGGAAATACTTTCCTTAGCAAAGAAAAGGTACTAATAATAAAAAACCGAGAGATTTGTTGATTTATTTGGGGACCGAGCCCACCAACGGCAGAGTGATAAAATCGTTGAACACTGGGTAGTTCCGACGTGGGTTCGATTCTAGGCGAACGGGCTGGTTGCATGGGCGTTTTTTTTTTTTCCCCTCATGTGTAACGTGTGCACAAGCCAGCTTCCCTTAGAAATTCCTCCATGAAGGCAGATTGCCTTAGTGTGCTTTGCCATAATCAGCTAAACCGAATTATCGGGAGATGGTGAGATGCGAAGAAAAACCGGAAGAATTAGCACTTATGTAAATGAGACATGGATTTCAAATTCAGAAACAATTTTTATCAAATATATTATATAACTACATTTTAAAACAATTGTATCATTGAACAAAAGAATTGTAATTAATAAGGATGGTGAACGTTATTTCACTGCATATTTTTTGAAACCTTCGGATCAAATTGGATATATTATTCTCATTTTCTATCTCACATTAATTTTTCTCACGATATTTGTGCTTTATAAATGAGACCGACAAAAGCCCAGCTTTGCACAAACTTGACGTGGCACATAGACTGTTTAACTTTCAATCTTAGGCAAAAGTCAAGTAGTTCTCTGCTATCGAAATAGATCTTTAATTCATTTCAATATATTATCGAAAGACAGCTGAATAACATTTTCTTCTACAGATGAAAAATTTAAATGAAGTTTTGACCTTGAGAATGTCTTGAAACTATGAGAACTTTTAACGTCATCTCTTTAATTTCCATAGTTAATATGCTTAAAGTAGCTCTTCAAAAACGATGGTTGTAATACAATGCCTGGTACATGTTCCTCTTGTCCTAGCACATAAGCGGTCCACTTCTAAAACTACGTGGACGAAATATCATTCCTATAAAGATTCTAGAATACTGCACCTCTAAAAAAGCTATTCACAGCCCCGCGCTTCAGGCTTTGGAAACCATCGGATTAAACAGTTATC